CCTCAATTTTCTGAAAGAGTTTTAATAAAACTAAATTTTTTTTCCTTAATATTTGATGGAATTTAACCAGTGAAGCCATCTGGCCCTAGGCTTTTCTTTGCTAATTAAATATCTTTAGGTACTATAGGATAATTCAGATTTTCTATCTCTTCTTGAGACAGTTGAAATAATTTGCAGCTTTCTAGAAATCTGTCCATTTCACCTAAATTGTATAATTTGTTGGCATAAAGTTTTAAAATTATCTGCTTATAATGTCCTCTCCTCTTTCATTCCTAATGTTGGTAATTTGTCTGTCACTTTTTTTTTCCGTAAGTCAAGCTAATGATACAGAAAGTCAATTATGTGTGTCTTTTTGAAGAACCAACCCAGGCTTCAGTGAATTTCTATTTTCTATTTCTTAATATAATTTCCTTTCTTCTTTATTGGTCAGAAGCTTGCTTTTTTTTTCTGGTTTCTTAAAATGAAGTTTAGGTTACTGATTTGAGAACTTTCTTTTTGGGTATAGATGTTTAAAGCTATGAATATTTCTCTAAGTACTGCTTTAGCTACATTCCATGAATTTTGATATGCCATATAGTCTCAGTCAAAAGTAGGTTTACAATTGTTTGTATGAAAAATAATTCAATAATAAATAATATAAAAATAAACTCTGCTTTGCATGTTCATAACTGTAAACCTACTTTTGCCCCACCCTGTATTATTTTAATTTAGTTCAAAATATTTTCTAATTTTCCTTATAATATCTTCTTTGATCCATGAGTTTTTCATAAGTATGTTATTTAATTTCCAAATATGTAGGGCTTTCCCAGATTTATTTATTATCATTGGGGTTAAAGAACACATTTTGTATATTTTTAATCCTTTTAAAATGTATTTAAAATTATTTTGTGGCAAACGTATGGTGTGTTCTGAAGACTGTTCATGAGTGCCTGCAGCCATTAGGTGGAGTCCTTTAAATCACCACCCCAGTCTCAGATACATTCCCGAGGGGCAGAGTAGAAACAGACCCCAAACAGCAGAGCAAAGGCTTTGGAACGTAACTCACACTGGACACCCACCCCCCCACACACACACAGAAGAAATGGATTTAAATCAACTAATCAATACCTTTTTCACTAGAAAAATTTACCCTATTAATATTTATTATTATCATTAAATACTGTTTCATTTTGGACATTTTGTTCTGTGTCTGTTTCTGTTCCTTGGGCAGTTATTGCCTCTCAGGTTTTGCTTTTATCTTCTCAATCTTTTTATGATAATGTAGTATCTTCTTAATTTTATTTATGCCCATGTTTATATATTTCAAAATTATTTTAACCTACATTTCCCTAATTTTAAGAACCTTTGAGTCTCAACTCCTCGATGGCAAAGTGTTTTAGCATATTATTCTCCTCTTACCCTCTCACTATTCACCTACTTCTTGAACTTTGTTAATGTAATGTAAGGATTTAAATTTAAGTCATTATTAAACTTGTATTTAATAACATTTGTATTTAATAACAGTAAAATTAGCATTCAATCTTATAACTAGATTTTTAACAGTTAAATTTGTTTCTGGTTTGTTGAATTCCATTGTTCTCGACTTTTCTCCCCAGGTGTGTGATGTCTTTTGCTTCTTCTCTGGATTGGTTGATGTGCTCATACAATTTTTTCCAGAAAAGAAATAAGTGGTATACATTATGTGAGCATGTACTAAAAAAAATGTTTTCCTGTTGGTTTTGCAAGTGAAAAACTCCTCGGTTATATGTAAAGTTAGGTCATACCTTTCTCCAATACTCTGAAGCATTACTCCATTATTTTTCTAAAATTGTTGCCAGTTTCATCCTGCTTAGAAATTTGCAGGATTTGCATTTTATTCTTACCTCTATTTGAGGTTTAATTCTTTCTCCAGACTTATCCAGGTTTCACTGCATTAATTTTACTTGATCTGTAGCCCCTTTCCTATAAATCATGTCTTCTTATAAAGGTACCATGTTTCTGAATTATTTTTCTGAATTATACAGCTCATTTTCAGAAGTATGCTTTTCTTGTATGACTGCTGGATACAAATGCTGCTGCTTTTTCTTGTCTTGCAGAATGCTTTCACAAGTCTTACTGTTGTTTTCTTGTTTTTTCTCCTTCCTTCCCCATGAATTCTCTGATCCCTTAATATTGCAGCATCAGCCCCGAGAGGTGCATTAACTAAGCCAAAGGTGCCCTTCATAGTCTCAGTTTTTCTCAGACAGTGGTTCTGCCAGCCGTAGCAGTTTCAAACACCTCATTCTTAGCTTTCTTAAATGTATACTTAAAACTTACTGAAGGCCCCCTCCTTTAATATTTTCTGTAACGCTCTAGGTGTCAAGCCAATCAGAGTTTCCTATGCAGCTCCCTGCATATTGGGCCCAGATATCCCTTCCAGAACCTGGGCTCTGATTGCAGTGAGCAGCTGGGAAGAGAGGCACATCATGTGGCCAGAACTGAAAGTCACCCTTCAGTACAAATTCTCAGCAGGAATCTCACTTTTGTCCCAGGCAGTGAGTGAAGAAACAAAGAAAATGGGGTCTCAGACATCACTCTCAGGACCCAAATTCACAGGACTCAATATGAAGGGAAATCTGAATCAAGACAATAACAACAAGAAACCCCACTTCCTAGCTAGTAAACCCACAGAGCTCAGTCATGACCTTCCACGGGAAGTTTCTACGACCCAGTGTGTGAGTGGGGCTCCTGAGGAAGATAACTCCAGCTAAAAGTTAAATCACAAACAAGTACTGCAACGTTCTTTATGGTCAATAAAACTTGGCCTGGCTGGTGTGGGTCAGTGGTTGAGCTTCAACCCATGGACCAGAAGGTCACAGTTCAATTCCCGGTCCAGGGCACATGCCCAGGTTGCAGGCTGAATCCCTAGTGCACTGTGTGCAGGAGGCAGCCGATCAATGATTCTCTCTCACCATTGATGTTTCTATCTTCCTCTCCCTCTCCCTCCTCTCTCTGAAGTCAATAAAAACATACCTTAAAAAAAAAGAAAACTTGAAATTAACTAAACACCCTTGAGTCAAGGATATGATAAATAAAATATGGTATATTCATATGATAAAATACATTTAGTGTTAAAGGGACTGTACAAAATCAACATAGATAGGGCACAACTGTATAAAATTAAACATAAAAGAGTAAACAAAATATATAAAACCTGTAGTACTTATCTAACTTTTTAAAAATAAAAGTATAAAAATGCATACAACATACATCAATATGATTTATGCACATAGAATAATAGGCTGAAATATTACATATTAAATTAGTTATAGTGGTTTTTCTCTGAGGTGGAGAGAGTAATGTGATTAGACATGAACAACAAAGCAAACTAAAACGTCATCTGAAAAGATTTAGTTTAAATAAACAGTGTCAACAACTGTTGATTCTTCGTGATTGTATACCTTGGTGTTTGTTCCCTTTATTCTTTTTCAATTTCTTATTTTCTCTTAAAACTGAAAAACATGCCACTAACTTGTAAAGGGTGTCCCAAAATTCACGCAAGAAGTAATTTTGATAGAAAACACAGGTTTATAATTAAAAATTGTACGCCCTAACCGGTTTGGCTCAGTGGATAGAGCATCGGCCTGCGGACTCAAGGGTCCCAGGTTTGATTCCAGTCAAGGGCATGTACCTTGGTTGCGGGCACATCCCCAGTGGGGAGTGTGCAGGAGGCAGCTGATCGATGTTTCTCTCTCATCGATGTTTCTAACTCTCTATCCCTTTCCTTTCCTCTCTGTAAAAAAATCAATAAAGTATATTTTAAAAAAATAAAAATAAAAAATAAAAATTGTAAATTTTTTATTGATTCATAAAGTATACAGTATAGGGTTATGTATGGAATAGCATATTGGGTAAATGGCCTCCACGGCTTTGCTGGCACATACACACTCTTTTGTTGAAATTTTCCATGACCGTTTTGCATAAATGTGACTGAATTTCGATGAGGCTCATTTTCATCTTGATGGCTTGGTTAATTGACAAAATTGTCGCATTTGGGGTTTAGAAAATCCACGAGTGATTGTTGAGAAACAAATGCATCCACAACGTGTCACTGTTTGGTGCGGATTTTGGGCTGGAGGCATCATCGGACCATTCTTCTTCGAAAATGCGGCTGCTCAGGCAATAACAGTTAATGGTGCTCGCTATCATGACAGGATAATCCATTTACCCGATGTGCTATTCCATACATAACCCTATACTATATACTTTATGAATCAATAAAAAATTTACAATTTTTAATTATAAACCTGTGTTTTCTATCAAAATTACTTCTTGCGTGCATTTTGGGACACCCTTTACAAGAATTGAAGACAGCCTCTGTCTACCTCAACGACCAGTTGAAAATAATCTGCCGTAACTGATCAATAAAACACTATTCATGGAACATGAACAAACACACATGGTTAACCTGAATCCTTGCTCTACAAAACCCGATTTCGCCTGTAGACTGACCCAGCTCCCAAAGTGAGATACGTTTTTGCCATTACCACATGTGTAGATGCAACCTTAAAATGGTTATTCGGGCGTGAAGTGAAGGTTGAATCAAGGAGTCCTGAAGGAAGAAAGAGGACCCATCTCCTTGTCCACACAGCTCTAGGTGCTCTCCACTGTCTCCCTCCACTCACCCCCAACAGGGAGCTGCTGATCACAGCGCCCCCAGTGGCCTGGGAGGAGCAAGGCACAGCTCCTTTCCTTGCCTGTGCCCTGCTAGGAGCAGGGCAAGCCACTGGCTGATCCCTTTCCAAGGGGCTCTGGTTCTTGGCCACTAGGGGCCACCTCTTCCTTTGAAGCTCTTGTGGAAGTGGGTGTCCTCTGCCAAGGCTAACGTCCCTTTCTCATTCTGGGTTCCTGACCCAATTGCACAGCTAATTTTGGTAAAGGTTTTTTAAAAAAATAATATGCTTCTGTCATATGTAAGATCAGAATGTGCCTTGCTACTGATAGAGTGACTTTCAAAAAGGACAGTACGGTGGCCTCCTCACCTGGTCTTTCATTTCGGCATAGACTTTCTCCGAGTTCAGTTCCACCTGCCGCTTAAACTCCTCCAGGGCAGCGTCTGCCTGCTGGGCCTGCAACCTCTGAACCTCAGTCACACGAGCCAGCTGCTCCTCTTTCTCCCTGGAAAAGTTCAGAGAAGCTTCAGAGTCCAAATATGAAAGAACCAGGCTTGAAAGAACACTATTTAACCTTCTCTAAAACAAAACTCAGATTTCAATTTTTTGATCCAAATTCTATAAAACTTCTCTTTGATAAGCTGACAATAACATTACTTGTCTCAGGGGAAAAAAAGGGTATAGACACATAATATGTGTTCTGATCAAAGCACAACTACTTTCAAAGATTTCCCTAAAAACAAAACTGATGGGAAGCAGGCATCTCCACATCGGACTGAGCCCTCCGATGGCCATCGGGAACTTGAATTTGGCCAAGTGCATTTTTACCCTTCTTATATTAGTCCACACAAGAAGCAGGAAGCCTTGAGTTTTATTCAGGGTATCCCTGAGATACATGGATTCTTTTGTTTGAATACTCAAATATTTGAATATTAAAAGAGCACAGGAGAAAAGCCTAAAGTGGTGTAAATTATTTGGGGTACCTCAGCCTAGGCCTAGGTTGGCAAATGTGATGGACAGTTGTTACAAATGTTGGATGGACATTTGCTCTGGTGTTATTGACCCAAACAACTGAGAGTGGCTGCTTAGAACACTCTGTGGGAAGGACCTGAGACCAGACACAGAGGAAGGGCTGCTTGGTTGGTGCATAAATAACAGCCCACTGCAGGAGACTGGGTTGCAAGAGCTACTTCTCTGCCATACTATAGAGACGAGTCCCCTGTCACTCTTACATTTTGGGGGTTCTCCTGAAAGCACCTGGAAAGACTATTTCATGATTGGGATTACAATTTTTCAAAGGTCTACTTTTGCTTGCTCAGTCTGTCTATAAATGGAAAAGAAAGTATATTGGACAATAGTTTATAATAATACATGACTTACAGCTGAAATATCAGCTTTGTTCTATGAATATTGAAACTCAGTTGTATTACACCATTTTGTCCAATAATTCACAAGAGCTATTTAAACACTTTCAATTTAATAGGACCAATATTTTCTCTATGTCATCTCATTCTTACCTACTAAGTTTAGTTCATTTACTTTATAACTAACTTATGGCCACATAAGTCAGTCATAAACTGTAATTATAATCAGGTACCTATTATTGACCATATTAAAAATATATATTTTAAAAATAGTTTTGAAATAAAACCTTGTACAATAAAGCATGTTGCTTTTAATTAATAACTTCTATCCTTATTTACAAATAGAAAATATTATATTAAATAACAAGTAAAAGGAAATGCGTGAAATCTCCCAACTAATTTTAGCCCCACTACACAGTCTGGAGCTAATTTAGTAGTAAAACTAAAAAGCAAAGAAGGCCTCATTCAATGTAAATCAATGCTCTTGTCCAGTGAAACCATGGCAAACACAGAGCTCTGCTATTATTTAGGAATTTCTGTCTTAATATAAATAAAGTATCTGTCTTAATTTAAACAGATTATATTCATTTTAATTTTAATGAGGGATCCATTTTCATCTCTATCAAAGTCACAAAATGGAAGAAAAGACTTTCAGCATTTGAAGAAGAAAATCTGCTCCTTACTAACATGAGCACAGTATTCCTTTTTATGATTCCAAGTAGTGTCCTGTAAGAAGCAAAAAAAAAAAAAGTGACTTTGAAGATTAGTTTTTCAGCGGAACCTGTGGGGCCGAGTATAAATGCATCACTCAAATGCCTTAATGCTGGGCCTCCATGAAGATAAAAAGGTGGAAAGAAGATTTGCTTTTTAGTTCTGATTTATTTATAAAATGCAGTAAATTTTTCTCATCTGGATATATAAAGCACAAAGAAAAAAGAAGCTGAATTCTTATATAACCATGAGCCAGCTCAGATTAAAGGATGCTCTGAAGCACATGATTATTCCAAAAAGGCAGTAAAATGCAGAAGACTAATGGAGTACCATTTAGTATTTCTTGAGCTTTACAAGCTAACATTTATATGTGCAGGCCAACCTTAATTTGAAAATCCTCCCTTTGCACATTTGTGTACCAGCACTTTTGATAATGATGGCAGGGATCCAGCATGCATTTATAAGGCTTCACATTACAGTATACTGCATTTGCTGCCAGCTTGGCATCTCCACTGGAAACTCCAAGGAAAACAAAACAAAATAAAAAAACTTCAAACAAGTTTGAAAAGCAACTAGAAGAGTCTCCATTCCCTTTCCAGCTGAGCTGGTAAACAAGACTTCCAAACAGTTATATCATCTATGTTCATGGCTTCTATTGGGCCTTAAACTGGTTAGAGTGAGTTAGTAAAAAAACACTAAGATAGAACTATCACTTAAAATGCACTAAAAATAATACCTTTCACTAAGCATGATAAATAGCTTCTTCTTTACATGGTTGCTAAGACTAGTGGTCTCTGCTAAATTTCTGTTTAAAAATGGTAACCACTATGGGTAACTAAACATTTGAAACATTAAGAGTCAAAAAGGATGCCCAGCCAGCATGGCTCAGTGGTTGAGCGGCAATCTATGAACCAGGAGATTACGGTTCGATTCCTGCTCAGGTCACATTCCCAGCTTGCAGGCTCAATCCCCAGTGTGGGGTGTGCAGGAAGCAACCGATCAATGATTCTCTCTCATAATGGATGTTTCTCTCTCTCTCTCGCTTTCTCTTCCTCTCTGAAATTAATAAAAATATATTTCTTAAAAAGAGTCAGGAAGGAATACCTGGTAAAACAGAAATTAGTATGGGTCTTAATATTGGAAAAATGACAATGCTCCTCAAATTGAATGCAAGGGACCCAGACTGGGTGAAATAATCTTAAAAAAGAAGAACTTATTACAAAGCTAGAGTAATAAAAACAGTGTGCTACAGGCCTAAGGATAGATCTATAAATCAATGAAATAGGATTCAGATTCCAGGAGTGAACCCTATCATCGAGCATCAGTAGCTTTTCAGCAAGGGTGCCAAGATAGCCCACTGGGGAAAGAATAGTCCTTACAGCAAATAGTGCTAAGACAACTAGATATCCACATGCAAAAGAATAAAGTTGTATTCCTTCCTTAAAACATATACAAAAATTAACTCCAGATGGGCCACAGACCTGTAAGAGCTAAAAATATAAAACTCTTAGAAGAAAACAGTGAGCTACACTGTCTTCTTAGATATAGCACCAAAAGCAGAAACAAGAAATTAAAATGTAGATAAAGAGACTTCGGCAAATTAAAAATTTTTTGTCCTGCTAAGGATATTATCAACAAGTGAAAAGAAAACCCATAGAATGTGAGAAAATATTTGCAAATCATATTTCAGAAAAAAGACTTGTATCAAGAATAAAGTACTTTTACAAACCAATAATAAAAATATAACAATTTAAAAATAGGTGAAGAATATGAATAGACATTTCTCCACAGAAGATATACAATCGGCCAAAAAGCACATGAAAGGACACTCAAGAAAATACATATTAAAACCACAATGAGATACCATTATACAACTTAGCTTGGCTATAATCAAAAGACAGATAACAACAAATATTGTTTGTTTTTTTCTTTTATGGGGGTAATATAAACCAAAACCACAGTAAGATATCATCTCAAACCTATTAGAATGGCTATCATCAAAAAGACAAGATAACAAGTGTTGGTGAAGATGTGAAGGAAAGGGAACCCTGTGCACCATCGGTGAGAATGTAAATTGATACAGCCACTATGTAAAACAGTATGAAGGTCCCTCAAAGAATTAAAAATAGAACTATGGTATGTTCCAGTAATTCTTCTTCTGAATATATATCAGAAGATAATGAAATCACTATCTTGAAAAGATATCTGCACCACCCCCATGTTCACTGCAGCATTATTTACAATAGCTAAAACATTAAAACAACTTAAGTGTTCACCAACAAATGAGTAGATAAAGAAAAATACACTAACACACACACACAATGAAATATTATTCAGCAATAAAGAAGGAAATACTACCAGTTGCAACAACATGGATAGACCTTATTTTACTTATACTAAGTAAAATAACTCTGACAGCAAAAGACAAATACAGTATGATCTCACTTATTTATGGAATCTAAAAAACCCAAACTCAGAAACAGAAAACAGATTGGTGGTTGCGAGGAGGTCCATAAACCCTTTGAAGTCAACTGGATCTGAATCATGATTCAGAAGATCCTGGCATCGCCCTCCTAGTCACTTAGCATGTTCCAGTTGCTGAGACAGGGTCCTGGCAGCAACGCCTGAGAGTCACTTGGTCAGATACTGCAGAAAACTGAGACGTATGAAGAAATGTTTCTTATTCTGGGGAAACTACAATCTGATCGAGGCGAAAGATAAAAATGCAAGGGAAAAAAATCAAAGAGTAATGTAATATTATATATTTTGTGACAAATTCTAAGTGTTATAGGAATCAATAAATGGAAAGAGGCCATGGGAGTCCGTACAAGAAAACCAGACTCAGAAGATAGAAGATTTGTCTGTAAAGTATAAATAAAGCAACATGGCTAAAGTTTTAAACAGTTTAAAGTTTTCCATAATAATTTTGTGCTAAACTAACTTAGCCTAAAATATGGGTTTATAAATAAATTAGAAGAACTCTACCTCAGCAAATGGAAAAGCAATTGACATTTTTATAAAAATAAGAAAACCTTGAGAGAATTATCCTTAAAGATAAAACAGCTACAGTGTATAGTGAAGAAACATTCCTTTAAAATCTTTAAACTTCAAAATAACCCCCAAATCTAATGTTGTTTCGTTTTAGGTTTCCTACATTCAAGAAAGTACTGATCAAATGTTCCATATATAAATTATACATCATACACACAAAGCTACATACATACCCCCCCCAATACATCTTATTTTCCATCTTATTTAGCATATCAATAAATAATAAGGAAATATATGTTCATCCCATAAAATGACAAAGCCTAAATATTTTGAAATGGGTGCAGGACCACTTCTTGTTACTAGGGAGAAAAGGCAGTGGTGAAGTCATTCAGGCAGAATAAGTAAGCAACCAAAGCCAGATCAAAGGAATAAAGAAAAA